GTGGCTACATGAACATGAGCGAGCTTTTCAACATCATGGATGTTCCCCAGCCAGCACTCATCAGCAACGGCGTCAACCTCGGAAGTATCCAGCATGAAGATTCCAGTACATTTGAGAAAGAAGCCGAGCTTGACAAGGAGGAATCACAACAACGCAAAGTCATGAATCAGAGTGTTTTCCTAAACAAAACCGATCCTTACGAGGGCAAGAGCATTGCGGAGATTCAGATCCAGCGTCACGAGTTGCTGCAGTTGAACGAGAAGATCTACTACGATTTGCGGAACAACTTTGTGGATATCAACGACTACTGCACCTTCTACTCGTCGCTCGAGAATGTGCTCCACGAGCTCATGGACTATATCAACGAGACCACGAAGGATATTGCAATGTGACGTTGCACAGGACGATAACGCCCCGGTATTGGCTGGAGAAGTCACAAAATGGAACGTCACATGTGTGTCAGGCTAAGCTAACGGCCAAGGCGTGTCGGCTATTCAGCAGTCACGAAAGTCAAACGATTTGCAGCCACATTCTGATGAAGCCTGGGTGGATATCCGAAAAGCTAGATGGGTGTTTTTGGTGTTCTAGAACTGGGTGAAAAATCGCATCTGCTCGGTGTTTGGTGGCACTGCCTAGCCGACTCGTACAATGCAGTGAAGGCATTCTTGACAAAGGCCGACTTTCAATTCCGTGGTTTTTAGTGTTTTTGTTTTGACATGGCCTATTTTTAGAGGCCCAGGCCCAGGATTCCTAGGCGGCACCAGGAGCATCGAATATGTGGAAATGTCGATTCCGTTGCATCCAGTGCAGCCAATCCTCGCACCTCCAATTGGGCATTGTTCTGAGCGAGGGAGGGGCGACGGCGATGCTTGCTATTTTGAAAAACACGATTCTTTATTTTTCAAGGCGCTTGTTCAATTTATTTAATTTTGTTTGAAATTTTTTCAAATCGGCCGCTTCTTTGCCTCACGGTGTTAGCCGCTCTTGCCGGTACCTCGAGGCAGATAAGAAAAGGCGCATAACAATGCGGCCAGGGAACACAACCAGGCGGTGTTTAAGCCGCCAACGGTGATTTTGGTGAAAAATTGCCTTACCCACCCAAAAGCTTTTTAGAAATCTTATTTATTGGTCTCCTTGAAAATTCAGGATCGCCCCGAAAATTGCGGTTTTTTCCATACCCATATTCCCCCATTGGCACGCGGCTGGATGCCTGGCGCGCATTAGAGTGGAGAGGAACAAAGGAAGGAACAAGGCGTGATCCTGAACTCCTTCTATCTTACGACTTAGTACTCTTGCTTCTTTCTCCAGCTTCAGCCCTCCGTTCCCTAATATATCTGGAATTTGTACCAAAATTCCCAAATCAGCATCTGGTTCCTTGTGCCATTCAATTGATTACCCCACAATTCCACACATCCCTACTTTCCTTTCACTTCCTTGATGCCAGCAATGTCAGGAGTAACAGAGGAGTTCGAGACACTTTCCGTGAAATCCGTCGAGCTGGACGAACGGGCATGGACTGCCCAATCAGAGGCCATCAATTCCGAAATCCAGGACATTTTGGTCGACGTGCTAGTGGTGTTTCTGCAGCTTCCCGACCTCAACACCGCCATGAGCTCGGTGGAGGCGTGGGCGGGTGCTTTCGAGCAGCTTTTCGAGCTAGTGCCGGGGCTCAAACCGGTTTTTGAAATGGCCCCGCTGGACGACGCCGAATTGCAGTTTGAAGGCAGACCTGGCCGCTTCTACCTGCCGATCGAGGAGGAGTACTTCCTCGCCACCTTCTTTCAGGACTTCTGGGACATGCTTGTCAGCACGGATAAGTTGGGCGACTTGGCCGCCGGAAGCGCCTTGTCGGACCCTCGTGACGACCTGATAAATGTGTACGAGTACGTCAAGGAACGAAAGCAAGGTGCACCCAGAAGACGCTCCAGGAGGGAAAGCTCCTTCAAGGAGACAGTTCTTCCATTCAAGAAGGATTGTGCCCTCAGCAATAACACCACTTCTGCCGCGCTTGAGGACCACTTGTCGGCAATGTTGGATGCTGCCAAGAGCAGCGAGTCTCCGTACGACAAGCTTTTGGACACAGCACAGGCGATACATGCCAGCAGCGACAGCCACGTTGGCAAGTTTTTTTCGACATTCAAAAGGCAGGAGTTTTCTGCATTGTATGCTGCCGTTCGTGGCACCCCTGCAGCACAAGGCTTGTTGGACATTTTGACAAAGTACTATGCTGAGTACTTGGCCGAGCCCCATATGTTCAATGCGCCAGATTTCGGCACCTTCGTCAAGGATCTTCAACGTGTACAGCTGCGTGAGGACGGCCGTTCGGCCTCGGTATCTAAATAATGGGTTGGTAAGTATTGTTACCCGGTGAGAAATCTGTAGTGTAGGCGGCGTGGGGTTGCACCTTCGGCTTTTTGTGGTTATTGAAGAATGTAATTGACCCCATTCGTGGGGGGATTTATGCTAAGATTGTTGATAGCTAGTCATGAAGGGTCAAGTCGCCAGTGCACTTGAGAGTATGAATGCTTCTGGTTTTCTTAAGTATGAAAGCTCAACTAACAAGATCTTATTTGCAAACCAAAGCATACCTGAAAATATACCTGTTGAAAGTCAACTTTTTGGATAGCGTCTATACTATCGCCCAGTCTATTCGGTGTAGTGTGCACTAACAATCCACCCCATTGGGCTATACACCCCCAACGCCAATCAACAATATATGAACTAGGACAATAAAACCAAATCAACCAATAAAAATCATAAATCTTCCTCCTTATCAATGCCAAACACACATCTCTCCCATGCCATTTTGCACCCATTCCTCCACATAACGCGAACATCAACAGCTACACCTACTCCAAATCAACCTCGATCCATATTCACCAAACCCCATGGAGGTCTACAGTTTGCTAATTCTCAACAAAGCAGGAGGTCTTATTTACCAAAGAGACCTCAGCAACAAACTTTCGAAACTTTCAGCCAACGATTACCTCGTTTTAGCTGGTACCCTTCATGGTGCACACGCCATAGCCACAAGACTCAAGCCAGACGGGTCCCGTTCGTCACATGACGACGCCCATTCCGTCAACACCAATATCCTTGTTTCTGGAAAAGCCCATTCGCCAAATGTCAACAAGCTGGGTCTCAGTAACATCGACACTGATATCTTCAGTTTGTACGTTTTCCAGACATTGACGGGAGTGAAGTTCATTATAGTGACGTCGCCGGTAAGGGCTGTTACCGCTCAGGCAGGCACGCCTTCTCCACTGCAGCGTCAGGCCGAGGTTGCCAGCAATATCTACAAACAGTGCTACCTATACTACTGCGACTATGTGATGAAGGATCCGTTCTACTCCTTGGACATGCCGATCAAGAGCGTGATGTTTGAACAGAAGGTGCAAACGCTTACGGGAGCCAGGTAGGCGAGGCCTAAAAGGAAACTTTGACGGAGGTTTCATGATTTGCAGTAACGGAGGTAGCCTGTTATTCGCTTTATAGCATTTGCCTCAATGTCCATTTGAGTTGACATTGTCAATGTCAAGTGGTATGCGTCGCCTCTACAGAGCAACCCTGGGAAGAGAATTGAATGTCCTAGATCCATGAGGCAGTTGTTCTGGTTGTATCCAGCTATCTCGACAATTCTATGCTTGGATAGGCTGATCTGGTTGATGTACAGCATCGTCGAATCCGAAGCATCAACTGCACTCTCAAAAATCACTTATTTTCCTTCCAGATGAACCCGTCGTGTCCACAAGACGCGAGGAGTTGGACCTTCTTGGTTTGCAGCCGAATAGCCTCTATCTCGACCACGGCCTTTTCGCTCAAACTAGTTTTATTCTTCAACCACGCTGAAAGTGACAGCTAAAAATACAATCCACAATATAGGACAACCCGTTTGTTTGTCCCTTCTACTATCGAACACTATCTGCCCCAGACGCTGGTCCAGTTCCCTATGCACAACCTCATCAAAAAATTCACTACACCTCCACAAGCATGTCTCTGTCTCCCAAAGAACAAAAGCCGCTGTTGGATACCAGAATAGGAAAAGACTCCCCCTTCACTTTTGGCCAGCGCTTTTTAACTGACGAAAACTCTGTGTTTGACCACAATGCCTGGGACCATGTTGAATGGGGTGACGAGCAGGTCAAGCAGGCTGAAGAGCTTATATCCAAGCAGTACGAACTGCCGGTGAAGGATTTCGACAAAAACCTCTACAACTCCAACCCTGCCAAGTACTGGGACATCTTCTACCGCAACAACAAGGAGAACTTCTTCAAAGACAGAAAGTGGCTTCAGATTGAGTTTCCATCATTGTACGAGGTCACAGGACCCGACTACAACAAGCCTGTCACGATTTTGGAGGTGGGCTGTGGTGCGGGAAACACGTTTTACCCAATTTTGAACCAGAACTCGAACCCCAATCTCAAGATCGTTGGCTGCGACTACCTGAAGGTGGCTGTTGATTTAGTCAAGAACAACGAGAACTACGCCCCTAACAACGAAAAGGGTGTTGCATTTTCGTCGGTCTGGGACTTGGCCAACCCCGAGGGCACCCTCCCAGAGCATTTAGAGCCCAACTCGTGCGACATCATCATCATGGTGTTTGTCTTTTCAGCATTGCATCCCGACCAATGGAAACATGCCGTCAACAACCTCATGAAGGTGTTGAAGCCAGGCGGAGAGATTCTTTTCAGAGACTACGGACGCTACGACTTGGCGCAGGTGCGTTTCAAGAAGGGCCGTTTGCTCGATGATAACTTCTATATTCGTGGTGATGGTACCAGAGTGTACTTTTTCACCGAGGAAGAACTCAGGCAGATTTTCTGCACGGAAGGTCCCTTTGTTGAAGAGAAGATTGCCACCGATAGACGTTTGCTTGTCAACAGAAAGAGGCAGCTCAAGATGTACAGAATATGGCTCCAGTCCGTGTTCCGTAAGCCGCTAGCTGAAGGTGACAACAATGTATAAGAAGTTGTCGAGATGACGAAATGTGGACCATATTTTTAGAAGCAGCTCGTCGGCGAGTACCAGGGCGTCGACGCCGTGGATCACAGGAACAGCATTGAGCAGGTTTTTGGTGAAAAGCTGAGGAGCCCACTTTTGCAACAAGTCGTTCAAGGTAGTGGCCTTGCCGTCTTGCAGAGGAGCAATTGGTGCCTGGATCATCACGGGCGTTCCTGCAACGTACACCTTCACCGGCACTCGCTGGATCAGCTGGCCTCGAGGATGGAGCTTTTTGGCGATGCTGTGGAAACCGTTATAATCGTGCAGCGCGATGGCTTTCCACAAGAACCTGGAATCGTCCTCGCTCAAGGTCATCATGGCCTTGGCGTTGCCGTTCATCACGAACGTGGACTGTTTGAGCTGGTTCACCACCACCTGGGATAGCATGGAGGAGTAATCTATAGAGTCCTCGGATACGGAGAAGGGTATGATGTCAGTGCTAGGGTAAGGCAGCTCCGGGCTGTCGAACCGTAGTTGAAGCACCCACTCGTTCCGCTTCTCCGCAGCAGGAAGATACAATAAATCGTACAAAACGCCCGCCGGTAGGTTCCATTTCAATGGCACGTCTTCATGCTCAAGCCATATGGGTGATTTAGTGAGGTCTGTTGAAACCACCGAATCGAAGTAGCTTGCTATATCTGCGTAGTGCAATGGGAAGTATGCGTTTCGGTGAATGTAAAGAAGGAATTCCGTATCCTCATAGACGATCTTGACGTTGATCTGACCATCCCAGACAGACTGATGTAGGGACATGAGTTGGAAGGTGTGCAGGAGCCACCGATAGACCCTAGGTCAATGTGTCATTTTAGAGGTGAATTATGAAAGTGGGTTTAGGGTTGCTTTTCACGGAGATAGGCTTTTTGGAAAAGCTTCTGGCGTGCTTCTAGATGTGTTTCTGTGCTGGTGCAATTGTTCTTCGGCATGGCTGGTTGTGTGCTATATAAGGAAGGTGGATCGTCAAGCCCCTGAAATACGTCGGCTAACGCAGGTATTTGCCGGGGAAGGGATATTGTGCTTTTAGGTCGTATAGAAAGAGAAAAAAGAGTGGAATTGGGTTATTTGGGCGTTGGATGTGTTTGGATATTGAGTGGGTGGCAGTACATTGGCTGCAAAATGTCGCAACCCAGACAACCCCCAAGACTTATAAATAGAAGCGACAAGTAATCCCAAAAGTTCAAAAACCACATTCACTATCAAAATCGGTTATCTCCTTATCGAATAAAAATGGAAAATGGAAGCGTTCTCCGCCCGATTCCGCCTTCTGTGCGTCCCGATACCTTCTCGAATCCACAGCCAGCGTCCACCCAACCAGCATGGAATCTGCACCAAGCAAGAAAACCACTACCAAGCTGCCTACGTTTCCCCAATACGAATTTCTAAGCAACACCTTAATTCCGTTTTGAGGGCGAAGGAGCCTTAGATAATTAGCTACGGAGACCCCTAGAGAACCACAAACCCTATGACGTCAACGTAGAACACAGTCCTCTTCCCCAAAGGATAATAGTCTTTCGGGAGGCCCTCTAAAATCTACTCAAAATGTATCAAAAAGCAAAACCTCCCTCAATTAAGCTTTCTGCCATGACCACAGCCCACCTCGGGACCATACACCTGAGTGAGCCCAGATCATGGGAGAATCCGAAACATACATGCAACGATCCGTCCACAGTGCCCAAGCCATGACAACGAATCTTCTCCAAATCACCAAGCCCCCATCGACGTAAATCACAAAAGCCTTGCTATCAAATCTCCACCCGGTCCTTCCTCGCCACTTCCAGAATTAACCTTTCGATGCTTGGCGCCTATGCTTGGCTGCAAACGAGAAAAAGCCCCAGATATGGGTCCACCAGGCCAACGGCTGGGCTACATGGATGCGGCGGGCCGGCCATTTTGGGAAAAGCTCCTGGCCGGCGACGTTCCAGAAACACTTTTTAGACGATCGTGGTGGAGATTTCCCGATGCGGTGCAACCAGCCACCCAGACAATTTTCAGAATTTTCACCCATCCAAAGTTTTCACCAAGTCATGGCCACCCACCACAACTAATAAAATCAATTAAGGCCTTATAAATATCCATCTGTTTTGACTTTTGTCTTTTTTGTGGGCTTGGCGGGCCATCATTGTAGCCGGTTCTCTGCCTTCTTCATCTCCGGCGCAGATGCACTCTCCCCATTCTTGTCAAACCAGCCTCCGACGGACCCTGCAACTATTTATCTTATCGCATCTGCCGCAGTGCTTGTTTTGCTTGATCCACCTACTTTTTTTTCCAAATGGTCCCTTCTCCGCTTGTGGTACCCAAACAGCGCTCGTTTGCAGCCAAACCGGTCTCTGATAGACGCCGCCTCAGTGATAGTTTCTACAAGAGGGACACGCCGAGGGCGGTTTCCGAGAGTCCTCGGGGCGACAATTCGAAAAAAGAGAATCTCCTCCAAAAGGACTTGAAACGGTCGCTGCGGTACAATATGGATCTCTCGTCTGCTGTGGCTTCCTATGTTCCTGGGCTGCTAGAACTAGAAGATATCCCGGTCTTGCCGGTCTACAATAGAGCTACCGGGAAATTCAGAGTCTTTTCGACGCCTACTACTTCCCAAGAAGGCAGCCCTCGCTCCTCAAACAAGTCCATAACCGAGGATCGCTCTTTTTCAAGTCAGTACTCCGATGGACTGTCCCAGATGTTCGGTGGAGCTGCTCCTTTTGACGTCAACAACGGCCTCGGTGCTCCAGATTACAGAGACGACGGCTCCGTGCTTGGAGCGGCGTTCCAGGAACCGCCATCGCAGGATCATGACATTTTGCAGCCAAACCAGAGAAGAGCGTTTTCTGAAAACCACACCGCTCTGGAGCCCCGCTTCTACAGCCAGCCTCGTCACTCCTCCCAGACATTCAGCCTAGATCCAAGAAGAAAAACAGAACTTCCGCCTTTGCCACGAGCTGCTGCAGACTCAGTGCTGAGTGGCAGTGGAAGTGAGCTTTTCTCGTCGGGATCCAACTCGGGCGAGTCCAGCCTGGAGCCTGATTACACTCCTCGTCAGAGAAAGCCAGAACTTCTGTTTTTGGACGAAGTCAACGGAGGCTTTCTTGGGCATGTCGCCAGAAGGTCTGTTTCCACCATCAGTACATGCAAGACCTTGGAACTGGGGACGTTCATGGACGAGCCAGAAGTCGTTTCTGTAATGACTAATATGGACAGCATCGCCAGTGAAGGCTCCTTGTGGCAGGTTTTGGATCCCGAGGACGGTCCAGAACAGAGCCTCGTTACTCCAGAACAGTCGACCACCCAAAACCTGACTGACTCTCCAGCAACGCCTGAAATTCCCCAGACTCCTGAACTTCCCCGGACCCCCGAAAGATCTGCTTTTGTAAGTCAGAGTCTGCCACTACCCCCCTTCAATTCTTCCACTCCGCAATTAAACCCTTCCACACCCAAATCCAAAGAACTCCCACCAGTACCCACCAAAAGCCCCAAGTCCAACAAAAAAGTGGCGTTTTGCCTCGATCTGGGCGCCGAATACGACAAGTCCAGATTCATGATACCCAACGAGTACAAGCTCAAGCCCAAGAAGAAAAACGTCAAGCCCAGGGCTGTTTCGCAGCCAAACCCTGTTTTGCAGCCATTCTACCCTGCTTCCAAAAGACACTCCCAGCCGATTCCCGTGGCGGAAATGTCGGCTATTTCTTTGCCGGCCCCACCCAAATCACAGCCAGTTTCGCCTAACAGACTGGCCGAAAACCAGCCCATTCCGTTTAGAACCAACGTTCGCATCCGGGGTGGTCTCTAGTTCACGACACCTTATGACGCATATACTGATAGATGAAACTAATGGAGAAAGTTGTAGAGTGTAGATGATGAGTAAGGTCAGAAATTGAGAACTTATTCTTCAAGGTTGAAATTGGTGAATGGTGATCATTGAACATGAGCCATAGCTGGAGATCTAATACTTGAGACCACCTCTTTAATAACCATAGTCTCATATTGTTCTGCAAAGACATTTCCTATCTTTTTAAACCAATTCTCTCCTAACTAGCTTCAATACTTCCACCTCCTAATCTTCTTAATCTCCTTGCTTATCATTCATTAACTATCTCATTACACAGCCATCTCTTAGTGCCACCAACTACAACTTCACAATCAACTCGTCGTCAGGGTACAACTTGATCAAATCGGAAATGCCGTACCGTTCGGCAACATCGTCGGTGATGAATCTTCCTCCCAAATAGTGCACTTTTCCTGGAGCAGCAAAACGCTGAGCACAAGGCTTCGGAGCTGTCAAGCTGACAAGCACAGAAGCACCAATATCCACCTCCTGAGGACCTTCATCAACATCCCATCCTGAGGGAATGTCCACCGCCACAATTGGAGCGATCTCCTCGTGTTTTGCAGCCAAATGGTCAATGAGCTCATTGAACGGTTCTCTGACGGGCGGCTTGAACGAAAAGCCAAAAAGCGAATCCACAATCACTTTTAGTGACGGCTCAGCCGTGAGCTTTTTCACCTCCTCGATGCTTTCAATCTCCTGAACACCCAAATGGCGCAATTGAGTAGTGAGTCTCTGGTATAGCTCCTTCTGGGGTCTCTTTGGATAGTACACCACAGGCTCGTAATGACGCCAGAGCTTAAGGTGTCTAGCACACACTAGTCCATCGCCACCGTTATTTCCGGGTCCTACAAGCACCAAAACCTTGGATCCCGATGTGGCCGGTTTGGGGGGATACTGTTTGTAGATTGCTTTCGCCACGGCTAGGCCAGCTAGCTCCATGAGTTGGTCAATTGAGTAGGCACCAGTCGACATGAGCTCCTGGTCGAGCTGTGCAGCCGCTTTAGCGGATAATGTCTTGAACATGGGTGGTTGAAGGGTGAGTAGGATGGGTCCTGGGGTTATATAGGGCCTGGTGTTGTGTGCACACTCTTGCTATCAGGCCACCAAAGGGGGAATACAATTTTTGGAGTTTGAGTGTGAATGGGGAGTTGGCGGGATGGAGGAGGTTTGGGTGTGTTTTAGGCGGAGTTGATTTGGGCTGAGTTTGGAGGTATATGGGTGTAGATGGTGGCTGCGAAATGGCTGCAAACTGGGGTTGAGGCAGGTCCTTTAGGGAGGGCAGTATAGAGATTAGGGGTTTTTGTGTGAATGGCTAGTTATTTGTGAATTGTAAGTATTGAGGAGCCGTTTTTGTGGTTTGTTGAAAATGTATGGATGGAATTCGAGACCAGGCTCCCTGGTATCCTTGCATTTGCTTGCAGAGGCATTACCCAAGAATCAAATTACACATTTGACGTTTTAGGAGTTACATCCTGAAACATTGTGGCTATCAATGAAACAATCGATTTGACCCAAGAATCACACTTATCCCTCTTCAGAAATATATGGCCTTTTCGTCCTCCTCGTATTTAGCGTAATTACTGGCAGCTGCATGGAAGAACGCACAGTGCGTAATCAAGGGCCCGTTGAAACCCACGATGTTTCACAATTCTCGAGACAGAAATATTATGAAACTTGTGAGTGATTTTTCAGGTCTTGAGTTTGAACAAGTCTGAGGAATATCAACTCATCAAGCCAATCGGGTGTTCCATTTTTAGAACACTCTGACAGGGCTGAGGCTGAGCCTCGGATCCACCAACACAAATTACCATTTTGCTTTTGCAACCATCGACAGACCAAATACCTTCACTTAATGTAATGTATAAATCAACAGAGAAGTAATATCTCCCCTCGGGCAGATCAGTCAGATCCTTCTCCAACGGCTCCTGTTTGACACATGCTGCGAACCCCCACCCTGGATCACAACCCTTCACCCCTGGACCAAACAAAAAAAATATTGAAAACTTCAAAACTTGAATTCTTCTTAAATCCCCAAAAACCAATCCCTCTACCTCAACAAACCCCCTCCCAATTCCGTGGATCCAACGGTGGACCACGACCTCCTCCTCCACACAGAACCGCGCCGAAAACACATATTTCAAAAAACAACACCAACCCACTATCATGGACTACAGCGACCTGGCCTCGATGACGCTGTCATCGCCGATGATCAACTACAGAAAAGACGCCAAGAAGGCCGTCAAGTTTCTGTTTATGGTGGCGGGCGAGTCCGGCACGGGAAAGTCCACTTTTGTCAACTGCTTGTTGAACAGAAAGGTGATGAACCATAAATACGAGGGAGTCGACGGTTCGGGCGAAACAAAGACATTGGCCTACACGTCTGCTCAAAACGTCAACTTGCCAAATGCCTCTATCTTGGCTACCAACGAGTTTGACGCGTCGGCGGCTCAGGAAGAACCAGGTATCGCCCTCACAGAAACCAAGGTGGAGATTGTCGACGACGACGGCGTCCGCATGCAGCTAAATATCATCGACACGCCTGGCTTTGGCGAGAACTTGAACAACGAAATGTGTTTTGTCGAGATTGAGAACTTCTTGAAGCAGCAGTTCGACTTGGTGTTGGCCGAGGAAACAAGAATCAAGAGAAACCCCCGTTTCGTCGACACCCGTGTGCACTGTCTCCTTTACTTCATTGCGCCCACGGGCCACGGCTTGCGTGATTTGGACATTGCCACCATGAAGCGCTTGTCCAAGTACGTGAACATCATCCCCGTCATTGGCAGAGCCGACTCCTTCACCTTGGAGGAGATCCAGCACTTCAAGCAGCAAATCAAGATTGACATTGAGCGCTTCAACGTGCCCATTTTCCAGTTCGACAATTTTGTCAGCGAGTACGACGAGGACGAGGACTACGACTTGATCCAGGAGTGCAAGTACTTGACCCGCTTGCAACCATTCGCCATAATAGCCTCCGAGCAGGACTTTGAAATCAAAGACACAAACACGGGCGAGACCAAGGTCATCAAGGCAAGACAGTACCCATGGGGTCTTGTCGACGTGAACAACCCTAAATACTCTGACTTCCCCGTGTTGAAGTCGGTTCTCTTGGGCTCCCACTTGCAGGACTTGAAGGACTTGACCCACGATTTCTTGTATGAGACCTACAGAACTGAGAGATTGACTGGTGTTACCGGCAAGGGCATTGACGAGGAGGAGGACGATACTTTCCACGACTCCACGGACGCTCCTCACGGTGTCACCAACGCCGTTCCTTCCTTGTCCAACTTGGCCAAGTTGACCGACGAATCCGCCTTCAAGCTTGACCAGGACAAGGATGACGATTCTGACGACAACACGTCGCTTTTGCTGAGCCTGTCAAAGAAGCCTCGCTCGATGCTCATAAACGAGGAAGCCCTGGCTGAATCGCCCAGAGTGAGAGGAAACGCGTCATTCACATCTTCGGTTTCGTCCGTCACCGGCGGCGACAGGGAAAGCCAGTATAGCCACACCGACCGCTCAAACAACTCCTTCAAGAGATTGTCGATCGGACCTCAGCGAAGCCAATTGAGACAAATCTCAGAGACGGTGCCTTACGTCATCAGACATGAGAGAATCTTGGAGAGGCAGCAGAAGCTTGAAGAGATGGAGCAAGCCAGTGCGAGAGAATTGGCCAACAGAGCTCTGACGCTAGAGCAGAGAGCTGCCGCTTTGAAGGCCAAAGAGAAGTTGCTTTTGCAAAAATTGGAGGCTTACAAGAAGAAACAATCTGCATCGGAAACCACGTCGGTAAATACCGAGGGTGCCGACACGGAAAAGGAAGAAACCCTGCAGAGCTTTGCCATCAGAAAGGACGAAACGCTCACGGATTTGCATCTGGTAGTTAGCCAAAAGTGAGGACTGTTTCAGTACGTGGGATAAATACTGGCGTGGCTCGTGCGAAAACATGGGGCTGAAGAGAAGCGCGTCAAAACGGTGTGCAGCAATAAGCACAAAAGCAAGCAAGTGAGGCGTGATTGAACTATCACTTGTTGATTTGCCTGATCCAGGCAAACCTAAACTTTAGGAATGACGCTTTGAATCTCCAGCCAATGTCGATTCCCAGCCATCTTCCTTCCGTAAGCTGCTGATCCAGCGTTGCTGCCGCGAGGCCCTGAAATCAACACTCAATAACTCCTCATACCCCAAGCATGACATGTGGACAATCAAAATAAGGTACGATCATTGACCCCGACTGTGTTACTATTTACTTTCTGTTCTCTACCTCTGCTGTCGTCGGCAGGCTTCCCCAGGCTTCCACTGATTTTGGCCGCGCACGACCCCATAGTCTCTTTTTCGGCAGCGCCTTGTGACAAGAAGATCCTCACAACTAGCTCTTTCAGTCCTCCACCTAGCCCTCCAACCTTCTTGTTGTTGCTTACCAAGAAATGGATATCACAGGACTCTTGGACTCCGCCTTCTCTGGCGCCGACGCCAACACGCGTAATGAGGCGGAACGTCAATTGAGTGAGTTCGCCAACTCGTCTTTTGGCGAGTATATGGTGTATTTGGCGGATGTGTTGGTCAACGAGTCGGCCAAGCCGGAGATAAGAATGCTTTCTGCCTTGGGAATGAAGAATCAGTTGACTGCCAAGGACCCCAGAACGAGAGCCCAACAGCTGGCCAGATGGGTCCTGTTAGCCGGTGATGCGAAGCAGAAGATCAAAGAAAACTCCGTCAAGACCTTGCTTGGTAACGATGAAAGAATGACCACGTCCGTGTCGCAATTGGTGTCGTCCATAGCGCTTATCGAGTTGCCCAGAAACGAATGGCCCGATTTGATTCCTACCATTATTGAACACACAAAGGCTGAGAACTCTGTTACTGTGAAGAGAGCCTGTTTGCTCACGATCGGCTACATCTGCGAGAGTGCTGATGCCAACGATCCCCAGATCCTCGCCCAATCCAACGGTATCTTAATTGCCATTGTCCAGGGTGTCCAAGCCAACGAGCAGTCCACAAAGGTCCGTTTGACCGCGCTTAACGCCTTGATCAACTCCTTACAGTTTATCCTGTCCAACTTCAGCAGAGAAGGTGAGCGTAACTTCATCATGCAAGTCGTCTGTGAAGCCACTCAGGCCGACGATCTGGACCTCCAAGCCGCCGCTTTCGCCTGTCTTGCCAAGATCGTCGCCTTGTACTACAACTACATGTCGCTCTACATGGAGAAGGCTCTCTACATCTTGTCCATGTCTGGAATGCAAAGCGAAGACCAGAACGTTGCCTGTATGGCTATCGAATTCTGGTCCACGGTGTGTGAGGAGGAGTTCGAGATCGCTTTCAACCTTCATGAAGGTACAGAAACACCACAGATGAACTCATACAATTTTGCCCTCTACGCCACCAAGGATGTCTTGCCTGTCTTGTTGAAGCTTTTGAAGAACCAAAACGAGGACCCTGAAGACGACGACTGGTCGGTGGCCATGGCTGCCGGTTCCTGTTTGCAGCTCTTCGCCCAGACCACAGGAATGTACGTTGTGGATCCAACATTGCAGTTCTTCGCAGCCAACATCGGCCTGACCGAATGGAGAGATCGTGAGGCCGCCATCATGGCCTTTGGTTCCATTTTGGAAGGCCCAGAAGTCGAACACCTCAAGCCGGCTATTCAGGAGGCTATCAAGCCAATTTTGAACTTGATTGGCGACCCAGTCTTGCAAGTGAAGGAGACTTCGGCTTGGTGCTTGGGTAAGATCGCCGAAATTGCTCTCGGTGCTCTTGATCTTCAGAATGACTTGCAGCCGCTCCTTGAGGGTATGTTGCATGGCTTGAAAGACCACCCTAAGGTATCTGTCAACTGTTGTTGGACCTTGATCAACATCTTGGAGCAGCTCTGCAAAGAGGCTAACGAACAGCAGACCAGTGTCATGTCCGTCTACTACGAAACCTTTGTTCCTGCTTTGGTTCAATTGACCGACAAGTCTGACAATGACTTCAACTCAAGAGCTTCTGCTTACGAGGCCTTGTCTGCATTCGTCAGCTACAGTGCATTCGACACCATGCCAATCATTCATAGCATCGCTTCTGAGGTGTTGAGCAGGCTAGAGGCCACCATCACCATGCAACAGCAAGCCACATCTGCTGACGCTCGCTCACAGTTGGAAGAGTTGCAAATCAACATCTTGTCATTACTCACCAACATCATTAGAAGACTCAGCAACGAAGTGTTGAGCGCGGCTGACAATTTGATGACTCTTTTGATCAAGTTGTTGGAGGCTCAGGAACCTAACGCATTGATCGAAGAGGACATCTTCCTCGCCATTTCTGCTGTTGCATCGGCTGTGGGTCCAGAATTCATGAAGTACATGGACTCGTTCTTGCCATACTTGACCAAGGCCTTGCACAACGTCGAGTCCCCAACCTGTAACACTGCTGTGGGTCTTGTGGCTGACTTGGCTCAGTCCTTGGGACCACAGATCAGCAACTACTTGGACGGCTTGATGGACATCTTGGGCAGAAACTTGAACAACGATAATGCCAAGCGCGATCTCAAGCCCGCCATCTTGTCTTGTTTTGGTGACATTGCTGGTGTTGTCGAAGAAGGATTCATGCCTTACATGGACGTTGTTGCAAACATCTGTACACAGCTTTCCACTGTTGTGCCCGAAGACAGCCTGTTTGAAACGTTGGACTACGTCAACTCGTTGAAGGAGGCTGTCTTGGACTGCTACGTCGGTATCGTAAGCAGTTTGAACCAGAAGCCCGAGTTGCTCTTCAGCTATCTTGGGCATATCTTCCAGTTGATTGAGCAAATTGCTGCCGACATCGAGTTACTGAACATCGAAAATACTGCCCGTTCAGCCGTGGGCTTATTGGGAGACATTGCAGCGATGTATCCAGACGGACAGTTGCGCAGCATGTACTCCCAAGACTGGGTTACGCAATTCATCAAGAAGACCCGTGCCAACCTCAGCTTCTCGCAGCTGACGAAGGACGCCGCCAGATGGGCCAGAGACAGACAGAAAAGGCAAATCGCCTAAGGTCTGGTGGCCCCGCATCTCATCTCTCATTCTCTCATACTCTCATACCTCATCGTCATCTCTAATTCTTCATTCTCTTCATAAACTCTCTATATATACTCTCATGACAAACTTCACGGTCTTCGGGCTTGATGATTTAATGCATAGCATTCTCAATATACATCTTTAATACATACAACTAGACCACATTTTTCAGTAGTCGCGCTATCATCAACTACATCATGGAATCCACCAGTTTAGAGTCCTCCATTCCTTTCGACCACACATACATTCTTTACAATCCCAATGACATAATATCAACCGTATGTGTTCAGTTTTCACTTCTTCCGATCTACATCATGGTGTTCTACACCTCATGGTTCCTTATCACCAGAGAGATCGAACCGGTCATTATAGTGGGAGGACACCTAGTTGGAGAGGTCATGAACAAAATCGTCAAGCATATAGTGAAACAACCACGTCCTGATTTTCACAAGGACTTTGGCGCAGGCTCCTACGGGCTCAGCTATGGAATGCCTTCTGCTCATTCACAGTTCATGGGTCTTTTTGCAGCCTACTACATTTGCACGATTTTGATGAAAGTTCCCCTTCATAAATGGCAGAAGGTGGTTGGATCGTTTCTTCTTTCCGTTTCAGCCCTTGGTGTGGCGTTTTCCAGAGTGTACTTGTTGTATCACACCGCTGAACAGGTTATAGTGGGAGTGTTGCTTGGAGCCGTTTTGGGAACGGGATTCTTTGTTGTGGCTTCTGTTTTCCGTGACATTGGAATTGTTGATTGGGTGCTTTCGTGGCGCATTGTTCGTTTCTTCTGGATCAAGGATCTGTACTACCATGGGTATCAGACCTTTGAGGAGGAGTGGAAGGCCACGCAAACCAGAGCTCAAGCAGCAAAGCAGAAACAAAATTGATCATATTCAAATAACCAAGCATGTTTGTTGGAGTGGGCAATTAGACAAGTACCCATCTGGGCGTCTCAAAGTCAAGACGCTGATAACCATATAGAATAGATAGCATACCTTTGTTGAGACGGCCACCATATAAAATAGATGGCATAACTTTGTTGATATAGCCGCCATTGACGATTTCCCAAAGTTAACAAATCTGTAAGCGTTACCCCTGTGGACCTGATGCTGTGATGCTATAGCCACTGCAGATACCTAGCTCTACACCTCAACAAATGCTTAATACTATCACTTAACTATATGTACTGACTGGCAAATGCCTCTATGCTTCTCCTTCTCCGTCTAGCCTCATGCCCAATCGTCCCACTCATCGTCCTGGGAAACAGCCTTCACAACGGGCTTACGAGCAGCAGGTGCTGGTTGTGTAGGCTGTGCTTGCTGCTTTGGTTGGGGCGGCGTTGAAGTGCCGTTGAGGTGGGCGCTGCTTTCAGAATCGAGAAGGGTTTTGCTTTCAGGCTTCTCGAAGCCAAAGGCGTCCTGGACTTCCTGCTTCTCCTTGACGCTGAGACCAGAGAACAACAGATCAAGCGTGTTGTTGAGACCCTTGTCCTGAACGTCCTTGGTGAACGTGTTGAAGGTCTCGTGGCCGTACTTACCGGTTTCTTGCATTCTCTGGCCAAACTGAGCCATGGCTCTCTTGGCTTCGCTGCCCAAGTCGCTCTCCTGGATGTTCTGGAAGCCTGGCTTGATCACAGACTCGTGCACCTCGCTGACCGACTTGGCCACCGTCAGCGAAAAGAGACCCCAGCCCTTGGTGAAGGTGCCGACGGGGTCATCCTGGAACCTGTTGAGGGAGAAACCGCTAAAAGAGCCCTTGTCGCCGTTCGAGGCAGGCTGAGGCGTGTTTCCAAAACCAGAGTACTTGCCGCCCTGCGAAGGAGGAAGATTATCTGGTCGCCTTTCGTTTTCAGACCCAAGCTGGGCAAAGTAGGCCTCGTTCTTGGATCTATCGATCTGAGGAGCCTTGGTGGTGACTGGAGCCGCAGGGGCGCCCTTCTGGGGCAAAACCTCGCCCGAGTGGTCCTTCTCCTCGTACTCCTTTCCTTCCACAACACAGGTCAAGTAATCCTTGTAGTCGGCCGCGACGTAGTTGTCGAACTTGGATTTAGCAGGTAGGTCCAAATCAAGGCCTCTTTCCTCGAAAAACTCCTTACATTTCTCGTTGCCGCCCTTCTCCATACGCAACACCTCCTCCGGCTTGAACTGGTCCATCGTGATCGACCTCACAAACGAAATGTGAACACCCAAACCACGGTGGATACCAGCGCACTCTAGGCAAATGAAAATTCCGAATTTTGGCGATGCCCACTGAGGGTTGAAGGCGCCACAGTCAAAGCACTTCTTGTTGGCGCCGTTTTTCTGCACAAGCAAGAGCTTGCGGCGCGTCTCTGGATCTATAGCCATGGTGTTTGAAGATGTGAGTTGGTGATTTGGTGATGTCGCACTGCCGTGCACCAGATAACGAAGAGGAGGAGGGCTGGTGTGGTGAAAACGGGGGTTTTTGGGAAATGTGGGTTTTGCAAGATTTTGGTGATTATGGTAATTTTAGAAAATTCCATTTAACTATTGAAATTCATGGGCTACGGAGGGCCACCTTCGGACTTCTTGGGTGACACCTGCGTCCAGACAATGTGGAAATAGAATGTAAACAGTGCTGTGGTGCACGGTGGGTTTTCTGGTTAGCAGAGTGGATTTTTGATTTTTTGGGTTTTTGAAAATGAAACACTTTTGGATTTAATGCACAAGGGCTTTGGAGTTTGCGCATGGATGTCACATTACCACGTTTGTTCCGTGGAAAGTTGGATATCTGGCGTGAGCTGAATGGCTACAGCAGCCGCACCAACGTTTTCACGATAGCAGAAAAATCCATACTAGGCCCGGTGAAAGTAACAGACTGGAAAGAAGCATAAAAGAATAACCCTCTTCGAGAAGAATCAACGTTCAAAGCTTTCATAGAATTCATAAATAAAATCTCTTTGAAAGCAGTGGATACATGGTCCCTGTAACGGCATCCATATTCACCGAGTCACATTAAATACCACGGAACAGAAGGAGTGAATTACCCCTTTTGTGATTTTCTACTGACTGTCACACCGAGGTTTTCAAAATCACAACTCTACAATTTTCATCATTTCCCCACAAAAATCACCGTTTCGCTGGACTGCATCACCTTCCAGATACCCTTTGTTCTGTGCTCCGATCCTAGATGCACTCGAAGGATTATTTCACAGCTTTCAGTAACCCCTCTTTTTCCTCCTCGGTTACTTCTCACAAACTACTAACCAACTCTACAGTCATTCATCAAGAAAACATTTTTGCTATACCTAGAGCTTCGTCAAGTTCTCGGAGTTCAATTTAGCAACCTCCTGAGGGTACAAGTGGTGGGAACCTCTAGAGCCCATGTGCCACGAGCCACCATCCACAACCTGAACAGTGCCAGTCACGTAGTCAGCAGCAGGCGAGAACAAGTAGACAGTAGCATCGGCAACGTCCCTGACGGTACCGTATCTCTGGATTGGAATCGTCTTTTCGTAGCCGTTGGCCTCTCTCACCAAACGCTTGAATCCCTCGGTCTCAGCAATTGGACCAGGCGAGACACAGTTACTTCTGATACCCAAAGGACCCAATTCCACAGCCAACGCGTTGGACAAAGCGTCCACACCAGCCTTGGCAGCACCAACGTGGGCCTGGAATGGAATACCGTAGTAATGCAACGTAGCACTGACGAAAAGGATCGAACCCTTGTTCCTTCTCAACTGGTCGAAACAAGCCTTGACGGTGTTGTAGGAACCGAGCAAGTCAATTCCAACAACAGTGGCGAAGGCATTGGCAGACAAGTGGTTGAAGTCACACAAGAAGTTACCAGCAGCACCGGCAATGACATAGTCAATCTTGCCCAACTCTCTCACGGTCTTCTCCACGGCCTTGACAAGAGACTGCAACTGTCTAACGTCTGTACCAGCACAGCTCACCACCTTGGCGCCAGGACGCAATTGAGCCATCTCAGCAGCAGCCTTGTCAGTGTTGGCCTGGTTTCTGCCAACGATGGCAGCATCAGCTCCCAAAAGGATCAAGGCTTCGGCCTGACCACGGCAAATGGTGCCGGCACCGCCAGTGACAAAGACAACCTTACCCTTGAAAAGGTCTGGTTTCCACACTGAAGTCTCAAGATATGATCTGTCCAATCCCATGATGCGTATTTGTTAATTTGGATGTCTGGTTGATGGTGGGGTCCCAAACCTGGGGTCTTATATACTCTCTCGCGCATGAAAAACCCAACTCGGTGAAGGAGATAACTATCTCCGTTATCTTTTCACGTGTGTCAAATGCGGGACTTAGTGCCTCTTACAATGAAAACTTAAGTCTTGAGATCCCCGTCCTTCTTAATTCCGCTAAGGTAGTCTGACACCTTCGGCTTTTTCGAGCCCTTGTTGCCGTTGCAGCTGATTTTCCCGTTACCGTTTTCGTTGGGTTCCTCGGATGCAATGCTTCGCTTGTGCGAGGGGTACTTGACAGGATCAAGCGGTGATAATTCCTGTGCACGAATATCGTTCTTCCCTTCGTTTTCAATTGGTGATTCAACGTTGTCCTTATAGTTATCGTCAATGCTAGTCGCTGTTGGGTCTGCATGATTAAGCGCACTCTCCATCATCAGTATGAACTCGTTGCCGGTGGAAACGTAGTTAATTTTCTCGATGAAACCCTTGTGGTTCTCGTACAAGTTGGAAGCAAGGGCTTTGAAATTACTCTCATGGCTTCTTCTGAGCAAGATCTCGAGAAGATCGAGACACAGCGAGTTCGCGAGAGTGTTGTTATGAGCCACAATCTCAAAGAAATCAATGAAGTCACTCAACAAGTCTTTCTCTATGATATAACGCGTTAAGACGTCATCGTTGAGAATGATGAGCGTCTTGAAGCATCTGAGTGCGGCAAGTTTGAGTGTGATTTTTGTGTCCAAGCTCAATAGACGCAAGACCCCAACGAGAACATTGTTCCGGATGAAAAAGTCTCGACTTAGCGCAAGATCATGTTCTTGGA